ACCTTATAAATGAGAAAATAAAATAGATGAAAGGTTAAATACTAAAATAAAAGCCTTAAGAAAATTCATTTAAATATATGATAGTTTATATTTAACTTGAAGGTCATTAACAATAATAATATCTTTTAGATTAGATTAGATATTGTAATTCAAAATTTTTCCATATGAATTTTCTTTATTTTTTTTTAAGAAGGGACCTTCCCTTAATATTTTTTAATTTCTTTGCACTCTTAATAGTCTTTCTTTTCTTATAATGCGTTTTAGTTTTATCTTATCGCTCTTTCACCTTGATAGTAAACGTGAAATACTACATCTGATAAAGGGGCTTAGACCCAACTGACTATCTTTATTATCAACCTAATTGGTATCGTATAGATTTCAGAAACACATTAACTGAATATAAATTGATTAATAGTATAACTACTACAAAATTAGAAGTCAATATAGGGTTAATATAGCAATCTTTTCATTTATTATGCATTTTTTGGTTGACAATGAGACACTTTTTCAGATTCGTTTACATTGAATGAATATTTAAATTTAAATATTTGCGTCATGATTGTATACGGAATTCTGTATAAAGTAACCAGTAAATCATTAAAAAAGTGCTGAGCGCAGAATGTGTCATGAAGATTTATTGTTTACCTGAAATATAAAATACATGTTTTGAGACAGAGGCTGAAGGATCGTTATCTTCCTGTGCTAATGCGCAGTGCGATAATTAGTTAATTTTATATTTCCCCGAGAAACTATTACCCTAACCAATTGCAAGTTAATTTTAGTGGTTTTTGGGCCAACTCAAACCACTTGACCCACATTCTGGTGGTTTCCCTTTCCGCAGTTCCGGCGAGTTCCGAGCTCCACTTTGTTGGCGACCTCATATTGTTGGTTATAACACAATTAATTAATTAAATTCTTAAGCCTCCCCAGTGGCACTTAAGTGCAGGGGCGGCGGCGGATGCGCTGAGGGGGTTCAAGTGTGAAGATGGGCTCCCCTTTTGTGGGCAAAGCTCATTTAATCCATTTGCAGTTGAGCTTCTGCCGCTTCTGCGGTTTGAGTCACAGCAAGTAGTAGTGCAGGCACTGCTCTTTCATTTAATTTAAAATTATTTTCCGCCTAGAGCCACCTCCGCTTTTCTTCTTCGGCCCCCCCATTTCCATTTGCCATGCACTTGCCTTAACGACTTTTTTATTTAAATACGTTTGTTGACATTGCGGACTTGTTGGAGTGAGCATTGTGTTCTCTGTTCCGCTCCTTCTTTAATATCTACCCCTAGCTTTTTACCCTTTGTGTCGGGGGCGAACAAAAAGAAAAAGAGTGATGTAAGCCAAGCCTTTTGGGATATTGCATTCATCGTAAAAGTAATTATGGGGCTCAGCTCCATGATGATCCTGCCAATTTCCAGTGGCACTTCAAGTCAACTTTATGAAATTTAATATTAAATTTCCCTAAGCTGGCTAAATGCTCATTAAAATTATGTATGCATTGAGAGAAAGGGGTGAATGTTTAATTAGGATGGGTGTGCTTGTGATAAAGTTTTAGCAAAATTTTGTGAAAAATATTATATTTTAAATGTTATATTAATAATCACTTTTTAAAATGATTTGTTATAAGCAGACCTTTTATAATAAATTATTTATTAATAGACTTAAGAGACTAGTTTGCGCAAAAACGAACAGACGGACGGACGGACAAACGGACGGACAGACGGACGGACAAACGGACATGGATAGATCGACTTGGTCTTTTATTATACTTTTTTATACCGTTTTTAATGTCTACAGTGTTTTTTTTTGTGAGTGTACTCGTGGCGGGTTTTTCCAGTTGGCTTTTAGCAGCTATAAGCTTGCCAGGCCGACGCCTTCCTAATGTGACTGACCTAAATAGTGCAAACGCTTGGCTGGCACTTTGCCTACTGCGGAATCCGGGATGTGTGAGAACGTACACTCAGCAAAAATTGTTTTACTTTGCCCTTTCAAAAAATATGAAGCACATGCAATTTTAAGTAAGCAAGTTGAGTACCAAAGTCAACTCCTTACTTTTTATTGATATAATGCGATTATTACTTAAATATAAGAAATGCCCGCTTAAACAAAGTTTTCTTTGTACATCTGAACAGCTTTATATGTTCAATCCCCTTACCTTCAGTTCTTATTTATTCTTTGATAAATATATAAAACACTGCAATATTTTTCGCGTGCCAAAGTGTGGGTATGTGTGCTCATTTGCTGGAGTGTTTGCCCTGCGCCAGTTGAAGTGCCAAGAACGGAGCGATGCGATGCGATGCGAGGTCTTCAACTGGCATTTTAAATTATAAAATACTCGCTATTTAGCATCTCATCTCCAGAATTCATTTAAATCAGGCTGCCGCATTCGCGACGAGCGGCGCAAATTGAAGCCAGTTAGAGGCGGTTGGCAGTTTGAGTTTCAGTTTGAGTTTGAGACTCAAATGGATGGTATAGCTATAGCTGAAATGAAAAAGAAGATTCTCTGGCAAAGGCAACAGCAACCATAAAGCACTCACAGTAGCAACAGCTACAGCAGCAACATCTACAGTAGCAACAACAGGAAGCAGTTTGCCCATTTTCATGGCACTGAAGCATTTCATTTTACATCTCCCTCCCGAAATCCCTCTGTCTGTCTGGGCGTGCGTTTTATTAGCTCCTTTCGTTGATATGCTCATGCCGTGCTCGCTCGTTTGTCTTTCAACAAGGGAGCCCACATCTACATCTACATCTACAGACACATTCACATTCACATTCACATCCACATCAACTTCCAAGCACCACCTCCACCAGCAGTAGAAGCACCACCATCCACATCAGCACCACCCTAGCAGAAGGCCGGCTTCCTCGTCTTGCGGCGCCTCCCAGTCCAAAGAGTGTGCCTTGCATTTGTAATTGATACACGGCGAAAAATCGGACATGGCCTGGCCAGAATTTTAATCAAGAACCCTAAGATCAAACGTGATAGTGGGGGAATTCCGGGCAAAAATGATGTTGTCTCTGTAAATCTCTGAATATATTAGTAATCAATACGAATAAATTTAATCCTACCAAATGGATTTCTTAAGTTAAATAAAGAAATGGATATTGAAATAATAGGAAAGTAATCAAGAACTCTAAGATTAAACGTGATAATTGGGCAATTCCTGGTAAAAATTACGTTCCTGTAATTTTCTGAATATATTACAAATCAATAGGATAAAATTCCTCCTAAATAGATTTTTCGGTTAATGGAGATATAGATGTGTAAATGGAAAAACACTAGCCACTGTTTGGGTCATTTAAGGATTAAATTTTTTTAATATTATTGATCAACTCAACAAATATTTCTAAAGGTATTTTGAAATATTCCAGATATCCCCTCAAATATTCATATGTTGAATGATGTTTTTGAGTCCGGGTTCGGTGAACTCATTGATAAATTTAAATAAAATTTCCAGATGGCTTATTTCTGCCGATCGAAGAACTGGGAATTTTCACTTTTATGAGCTTTGGCCAAAGACAAAAACAATGAAGTTGGCAGTGTATTCGTTGCCATAGCCACCATATCAAGGCATTGCGGATATATCCAGCAGCTTTCACAGCCCCAAAAAGGTGGCTTCAGTTTGAGTCTCGGAGTTGGAACCCACTTGGATTGGATCCACGAGGCATCATCCACGAGCCAAAGTGTTCGATTGTTCCGTGTTCTCGACAAAGAGACGACACCCCCATATATACACGTACTTACATACATTCTCCATGGCTCCATAAAAATACGTTCGAATGCATAAATTTTCCTTTCATAGCCCAGGCATTTGCCTATTTATAGTTGAAGTATTTATTGTTGCCGGGCCACTCGTGGCATGCTCAAGTGGCCACTCGTGGGGGCACTTTAATTGCCACTGCCTGCCGTCCATCCTGCGGCAATGTCATGGCCAAGAAGTGGCAAATGCAACTGGTTGTAATCCAACCAAGCATCTAGGAACTTAACTTTTCCTGCTCTCATTTTCATTTTTACATTTTCTTTACAGCCATTCACAACTGGCATGGCGATGTCCGGTTCGGTTTGCCCCTGGACGTCGGGGATTCCGTGGATATTGTGGAGGAGTGCAAGCACTGGTATCGCGGCTCCTGTCCCCGAAAATCCCGGGCAGTGGGTCTCTTCCCCAAAACCTATATACACATCAAGGATCTGTCGAAAATCGATCCCGTGGTCGCTGAGTGTACACAGGTCCTGCGAGAATGGTCGGAGATCTGGAAGCGGCTCTATGTGGTAATTGTATTTAATATTCGAATATTAAAGTTCAAACGTAAATCTATTTTTGATATTTTTCAGGATCGCGAAGCTTACAAGTTCCAAACCCTGCGCAAAGTCATGTTTTCCATATTGGAAAGTCGAAGGGAGCTCTTGAGTGCCACCATGACTCAGGATCAGACTCTGGAGCTTCAGATGGTTGTGGTTTCAAAAATAGATTGGGGCAATCGGTAAGTTTTAAAGATATTCAGTAGGTTGGGGTATTCAAATGAACAAAATACTTCTGGAAATAATAATAATAAACCTAAAACGATTTTAAATATTTTCAAGTTTAAGAATAATGTTGGAAGTTCTAAAACAACAAACTATTTGAAGAGAGCCATAAGAGTTAGAAACCACTTTATTGACAATGTTCCTAAGAGTTCTTGAAATAATAATAATTCGAACTATCTTGATAAACCTAAAACGTTTGCTATTTGCAACGGATGTTTTAGAATGATTTTGGAAGTTTTAAAACAACAAACTATTTGAAGAGAGCCAAAAAAAGTTAGGAACCACTTCATTGATAATAATGTGCCAAAGAATCGTAAGCAATTTTCAAGTAGTTCTTAGGATTTTCCTTTGTTTATAAGTATTCCCAGCGACTGCGTAGTACTTCAATGGTATCTCGAGCCTCTTGTCAGAACAATGTAAAATCCAACCTTCATGCCTATAAATCCCACAATCGTTTCCCAACCAAACCCCATTGATAAGTCCGCAGTTTAGCTGAAATTGTATTGTAGAATATTTATTACAACTTTGAACTTAGATAGCTTGGGTTCTCTTTTGCTTTATGTAAAATGTGTTCTTTTCTAGCAATAATCACAATAATTTTGTTATAAACAAAATTGCTTAAAATTACGATATATCTGTAGACTAAATGTTAGGACAAAAATAGCGAGAGCATTGTGTATACTCGTTTAAATATTTCGTAATTATATTCCTCGTCGTACTCGTATCATTCGATTACTACAATTTTTGTATAGATCAACGTTTCGTGAGCGTGCGTGAGCGATAAGCAGATATATGTCTAGCTGCATAGGTATTCTTCTTCAGTATGGGATCATCATCGATGATCCGAACTAACCGAACTATCGAGCTAACTGTTAAACTTAATTGTATATTTAAAATGGCGCATCATTGTCAACGACCTAACTACGATACCAAGTAGCAAAATCGTTTGATGGGATATCCTCTTCTCGTTCAATCTTCAACCTACAAATTGCACGGTCTGCCTGTGTCCCTCATTTCTTTTTTTATTTTTGTCTTATTATTTGTTTTTTTTTTGTCTTTTTATATTGTTTATTGTGTCTCCTCCCTCAAATGTCTCACTCTGTGGCTCACATCTCGTGTCAATGACGAACTGCACCTGTTTTTCTACGACCGAATTCAAAGATTATTTCCTTATAATTTTGCTAAATATATTTCGCATAGAATATTACTGAGTTGGATGTCCGAAAGTGCAATTGTTCTCGTTGATTCGTTCTCTCTCTCTCGCAGTCTTAGTGGTAGAAAATGGAAATGCCTAACCTCATGACACACACAACTCCCTCTATATCATCTCATCCCCCTACAAATATTATTGAGAAATCATTGAAATCATTGTTTTTTGCTTTTTTGGAAGCCAATCCGGATGAATTGGCTATCTCATCATGTCTCCGTCTCCTTGCCGCCGCCGAAGCTCTCCACTGGCGGATAGATCGGATGGCTGATGGGGTTCATTTCCAGGGTCGAGGGGGCCGATGGGGTTCGGGATGCTCCTAAGAGGCCGCAAAGCTGTTGCAGCATATCGCTGTACGATCTTGTGCTGAGATTCTGGCTAAGGAAGTGCAAGATCAGGAAGTCACCAATCTGTGGGAGAAATTTAAATGATTTAAATACTATTTTTAAGGGGTTTTTCTTAGTAGAAGAACCCACCTCCAAACGTCTGACCAATCCAGCGATTTCCTTGCGTTGTCCTGAGCGATAAGAACGCTTGATGATGGTCTCCCGTGTGGTGGGCATCATGATAACCACCAGAGAATAAAGCACAGCCACGCCGGAAATGGTGGCCAAGATGATAAACCAGAACCTAGAAAATCAAAAGATATTTTTAAGATCTCTCTAAAGAAAAAGATAGTATTACTTACCACAGGAAAATGTAGATCTTCTCGTTAAGGATATTCAATGCCAGCACACAGAGGGTGTCGTGCTTCTGAATCGATCCACTGGGTCCAAACTTGTGGAACGTGCACTTGGTTAGCCGGGGGAAGATCTCGATCATGGGATCGAAACGCTTGTCCTGATCCATATTGGAGAACTTGACCACATCCGTGCCGTAGGACATGAAAGCACCGCCCAGAAACTTATCCACCATAAATATATTCACAATCACATTGATAAAGTTAAGCAGTTCGCATATGAAGTAGGCAAAGGAGTAGCCGTTGTGCGTGTTCAAACTGTTCACGAAGTACTTGAGGATCCTGTCCTGACGATCCCGCCGATAATCATCCGGCACACTGACCATTCCACGCAGTCCATCGGTGATCATGCGGATCTTGCCGTCCTCCATGTTCTTCCAAATCCAGTGGGGCACATAGAACATGAGGCCCTGAAAGAATTTACAGATTAGTTTCGGTCGCGGAAGTGGGAATTACATTGAATTAAAGACACAAGATTTGTCACGCTTTAAGTGGACCATAAGTGATAGGTTCCAGACGCATTAAGTCTTTAATTAAGTTCATTGAATCTACAGACAAGATGGAAGTTTTCCTAAAGCTAGATTTTTTTTCCACTTGTAAATTGAGAAATAATGTAACCTTATTCCCATTTAGGTTTATGATAAATCTTTAAAAGATTTGAAATATTTATATATATAAAGTTCTTAATAAATGGTAAAGATGATCTTAGCTTTTGAAGTAGTACTGTAGTTCACAGTGCTTTATAAATGGTAAAGGTGATCTTAACTTTTGCAGTAGTTCTATAGTTCAAAGTTCTTTATAAATGGTAAAGATGATCTTAACTTTTGCAGTAGTTCTATAGTTCAAAGTTCTCTATAAATGATAAGGATGATCTTAACTTTTCTAGTAGTTCTGTAGTTTAAAGTTCTTGATAAATGGTAAAGATAATCCTATCTTTTGTAGTAGTTCTGTAGTTCTTATATTAATTTCTTTTTCACAATCACTCACCTGGAAAAATAGCACGAATGGCACCCATTGGTAGTAGCTGTGGTAGCGCTTCTCTTGGCCATATTCATTGCCCAAACCCGGGGAGGCCACGTCCGTTCCGATTTGCCGATGCTGCTGGCCAGGTATCGTAAACGTGTAGGTGATCCAGCAGAAGGTGTTGATCACGTGCATCGGTATGGAGCCATCGTTGATGCAACTTATGGGATCGCCTGCGAAGCGCAAAGATAAATGTAATTTGTAGATATGCATTCGACCTCGCTGTAATTCAGATATGTTATATGGGGGGAAATGCACGCAATGCATTCCAGAAACCAAAGAGAACAGAGCACAGAACACAGAAACCTCGCAAGCCGTTCGTCAACGTCAAGTGCCATTAGGGCAATCGCAATCTCTATGGGTCCGGGTTCTCCAGCTATCCTCTGGGTCCCCAATTTGTCGGCGCAGTGGGTGCGGTTACGACGACGACTACGCTACGGTTACATTTATTACGGTTGCAGACGTGCCTAGGTAAACCTGCAACATTCAGACAGACGGAGGGACAGACAGATAGAGAGCCTTTTCAACTTTTTTGGGTGCGCCCCAACTTGAACATTAACTCCCATTCCCCCTGCTTTTTTTTTGGGCAAACAAAGTGGATACAAATGGAGCTGCAGACGAGGTTGTTACTGGGTTGGAAGGGGGAATTCCCAGAACCAACCGTCAATATTTGACTGTGGTTTCGTCAGTTGTTCACTTTTAGAGCACTTCTTTTAATGCACAAATATTTGTCTTGAAGCTGGGCGATGCCTAGATCTGATTGAAGTCCAACACAATGGTTGCTAAAGTCGGGAACTTTAAGTTGGGATCTATTTAATTAAATGTTGTTAAGTAATAATTATGAAAGTACTGCAAAACTTAATAATTCATGAATTATATTAAAATGTCTCTCTTCATATTTGATATTTGTCTAAGCTGATACTGATTATTCTAAACAATCATAGTTCATTCAAGGATTATTTCCTATCAATTTTGCTCCAAGTGTACTATTCTTCTACCAAAGGCCCTTTTCAGAAGTGCGTGGGAATGTAAAATCATATTCATTACAAGTATCATTATGTAAGACACTTCACTGAGCCCAGCTTGAACCAGATACATTGATTTTCACGCCACTTTCAGGCGAAGCACAGGGCACAATCCGCCCCCCGCGGCGACGAAGGAATGAGTCACTCGAGTAAATGGCTTAGTCTGAAATCTGATGAACGTGTGTTGCGGCCAATTTGTGAAAGCTCTGCACGAGTTTGTTTTGTTGTTTTTCTCTGTTTCGATGAGTTCAATTTCAAATGGGTCGAATCGTATTTCTTGGACTTTAGTGCTGCATTAGCAGCTATGCTGCAATTGCAAGAGCAAACTAGCTAACTAGGCTAACCATATTCAAGTGCTAAACACTTGCATAGATGCACTAATTTTTCGGGGGAGGTGCTAACTTACCGATCAGATTGTTTGCGGTAACGATAATGCAACAGGTGAACAGAATGGCCGTGGTGATCCTGTAGTGGCACCGGAACACCATGTTGTCGATGACCGCCTTGTCCAGCAGATAGCGTATCTTGATGAAGCCGGACACAGCCGAGACCATGCCAAAGACCGCCATGTTGATGGTTGGTGTGCTGCTGCAACGAAGCTAACTGCAAGTGGACAAGAGAACAATAATGAAATGAGCAAAGGAACACTGGGAAAAATAAAAATATTTATTATAAAGTAATCCCCAAAGAGTAGTTTAGAAATCACTTGAATTGGTTAATAGATTATCGTCTCTGGGACTTTTTGGTAGAGCTTGAAAATTATCGATCTTTTCGATATTATTACAATATAGATTCGATAATATCGAAATTTAAAACTGTTGGTTTTTCGGTTCTATGATATGATGTGTTCAGAATAAGTTCCCTTTTTATTCCAAGTGCACTACCGTCGTTTTTTTTTCTTTGCCATACTTAATTGTGTGCTGTGTTTGCCTTGTGCGTTATCTGGGACAGACATGACATATTCCAAATTATTTCACCACCCAACTACACATATACGAACATGCCTCCTCTCCACTCCCAATCTGAGTTCCAGTTCCAGTACTAGACTACCCCATACCATCCCATCGTTATCGTCGACAAGCCGCACTTACAATTAAGTAAGTGCTTGGGCAGTGCCGGAATTGTTTGTTGGGAACATCGCTCTAGAAATAATATGTTGTGCAATCTAATCTAATCTGCGCTAAGCCGGAGCCCAGGTTGAATGCCCCTTCCCTCGGAACCTCTAGGCCCCGAAATATGCTACACACATATGTACATAGCTAACAAGTTCATCTCAAGAACTTGGTCTCTCAGAACCGGTACAGCTTTTTGTCAACCCACGCATAAATTTCACTTTGTCCCCCGTATAACCAAAGAGCACCGAATTTATCATGGGGTTTTGTTTTCTTTTTTCCACTTTTTTTTTGTATTTCTTGTCGGTGGCTTTTTGGGATTTCGATTTGGGTTTTCGGCTGGCCATGGATCAGGTTCTGGTTTGCTTTCTTCTTGGCTCTTTTGTTTATATGCAAATTTTTTTTTGTTTCGGCCCATTGTGTGTTTTATGTGTGTGTTTTGGCTGTATTTCATTTCGGCACGACAGATCGTATAACTCCGAATCCGAATCGGACTGGGAATGGGAATCCGTAACTCCGAGAGCGAGACGCACACTAGCATACGCACAGGCACATAGAGTTGTCTCTGTCGCACGCATGCGAGCGGCAATTAAAGTCGCAAAGTATCTGTATCTGCGCAACGGCAGCTACTCCTTTTAAATGCATCAGCTTCTGCACTGAACATTCAATCTTACCACGCACACATCGGCACAAGAAACACCACAAACACACACAGATACGCGGAGAGCACTTCATTTCGAGCCAACTTCAATTCTTGCCTTTTTTTTCTTTCAATACAAAAGTTTTTTCCTCTTTTTTTCGAAAAAAAGACAAAAAAGAAACTGGTTTTAAGGTATTTTCTTTTTGGGAGCGGAGCGGGCGCGATCGGATCCGATCGGTTGTTGCCACTGTTCTCTCTCATTTTGTGTCGTTTTCCTTGGTCGTTTTCCTTGGTCCGAAGGTGTTGCTACCAACATTGGCAACAGAGCAACCTGCCAGTTGGCCAGAACCGAACTGCGACGACCCCTTCGCACACATAAGTGATTCTTTTGCTCCTGCGATGGATTCGGTATCGTACTTTTTTCTTTAGAGCTCTCCGCTCGCATTTAAATTTATTGCTGCCACTTTGACACTTTGGAAACTCGTTTTCGCTGCTTGTATTTTATAATTTCTGTCTGGTTTTTTGTTTTTGTGAGTTTCTTTATTGTTATTTATAACTTTTTTGTTGCAGAGATTCGAGATTTCTATTATACACAAGTACAAACACTACAAGCAAACACCCACAGATACACTCAGACTCGGACACAGACTCAGCTGTGGAGCTGGAATTGCATTCGTAACTGCATTTCGAGATGGTGGTGTGCGTGCAGCTTGGTGGTTGTGATTTCAGTGAGACCCCAGTGGTTCCCATTCATACCCGTATCCGTATCGTATCGAAAATTTGCAGCTGCTCTCAGCGGCGTTCAAAAACCTACTAACACCAGATTTCCAGAGTCGAACTATACGAACCAACACTTTTCGAGCCGCGAGAGAGTCTCTCTTGCGATCTGGGTGGTTTTTCCACTCTTCTCTCTCTCTCGGAACCACTGATCGCAGCTGGTTCTTTTCGCTCACTAACTGAAATTACGCTCAAGCTGCATTCGCGCATTACCTTTTACCTGAGATGATGATGTCGATGAGACCCGGTGTTGTTACCTGTAGAGCAGAGCAGCCACCACCCAACCCAACCTCAGGTCGCTTAGGTAGTTCACTCCGAATCTCTGAGTCTCCGATTTTCCCTCGATCTTGAACCAACTTGAAAACATCTGGATTGAAAATCGGTAAATCCATTGATTAGTAAGGTCTTTGCGTTGAGCAGGGGGATTTTATTGTCTTCTACAACTCTATCAACTAGATCTGGATTTTAGATTAAGCTGCTCTGCAGCACAAAAAGTCGAAGTCGCAGTCGGAGTCATTCGGGCTAAACAAAGATTTTGAAACACAATGAGCCAGAACTGGAACGCCACATAAAACACTTAAGAAACAAAAGGGGTATCAAAAAACAAGGAGGAATGTAAAAAGAATATTCTATACGTATAGGGCTTTAACATTTTTTGATCATGAGTGGGAACCATAAAAAATGCATTTCATATTTCAATTTAAAAATATATATTTTTAAATATTCGAGCTATTTTGGTTTAGTTTTAGGTTTAGGTTTTTAAATTTGTTATCATAAATGGGTACTATATTTAATGTATGTCATATTTCAAATTCAAAATATATTTTTTTAAATATTCGAGTTATTTAGGTTTAGTTTAAAAGGTTTTCAACTTTTTATCCTATGTGAATTTAACTCTAGTTCTATCGAGAATCTTTCTAATTACTTTCAAAAATGGTAAAACTATAATGGTATCAGTAATTAAAATGAATAGTGTTAATTCTTTATTATTATATACAAAATTATAAATATATATTACACTTAATACCGAATCCCATGCAATTAGTTTATTCTATCAAATCCCATTCCCTCTATTAATCACCTCTAAATTTATGGTGCTTTAAATGCAAACCCAAGTAAATGAAATTAATGAGGTGGGACCTCAAGTACCTTGATAATGCTCCCTTTGAGCCGCGCCTCATTATAAAAACGTATTCCAATTAATTCCGCGGAACTTGGCGAGGCCTGTCCGTTTAATTTATCGCTGCTTCCATGTCCAGCGAATGAATCCTCTGGCAGCGGCACAGACGCCGCTCTGAAGTGTCCGCCAAGTGGGTCTAAGGAACTATTCGTACTCGTATTGGTATTCCTTTTCCAGGGTTAAATGTGTCGTCACACACACTCTTTCACTTAGGATCCAAAATGAAGATCCATTTGCATGCTGAGAGCTAGACAAGCAACGCCAAACTTGTTGCCAGGCATTCCTCTCGGGTTCCAGGTCCCCAAAGAACCCAAGAACCCAATTCTGAACCCCCTACAAAAACCTGCAACTCCTTGGTTGCTGGTGGAATGACTCAGCTTTGGCTGGCCTGTTCTTCGGTCTTGGCCATAATGAAATGGCATTTCGAAATGGCTGCTGCTGCTGCCGCTGCTGTTTCCATGTCCTGAACCGCTGCGCTCCACTTGGTTGCACTGTTTGTTTATTGTCGGTTCCTGATGCCTGATGCCTGTTACCTTTTGGTTGCCTCTGGCCTCTCGCCAGAAATGTATCTGCGAGCTACACCTTTTATAAAGACATTAAATACGAAATATATGGCATGTGTGATTGTGATATGCCCTGTATCTGTATCTGGGTTGCTGGCGAGGCGAGAGAACCCATAGATACAATGCCATCGAACGCGTTGTTATTGCTTTTGTTTGTGGTTGACAGCCCTGCTTATCGAAGTGTAAATAATTAAATTTTTCTGTATCGTCTGGGTCTCCATCTTGTTGCGTCTTCTCGCCTCGTTCTTTCCTCCGTTTTTTTCTGTTGTGTCATATCTTCATAGATTTCCAACACTTTAGGCGAGGCTTAATTAAAAAGGAATTTGTTCAGATAAGCAAGGCATTTTTTGGGTTTGTTTTTGGGGATATATACAGCCCCTTTCACCTGTTGAGCTTTGGGTCACAGGCACTTAATTAAAAACGACTTAAAGTGTTCATTACCAGCATGGCTACCGTTTTGCTTTTGCTTTTTTGCGGCCATCCCAGGCATCCCAGGCAGCCGCGCACGCGCTCCTCTCATATTTGTATCCATGAGATACATTTTCGAGTCGCAGTGCTTCATTTGGTCACGTCAACTCAGAAACAGAGCTCCCGGCGTAACAGAGGTGGCTCGAACCCCACACACAAACCTACATATCATCAATATATCTCCGAGAGAGAGCCGAAAACATTCCCCAGTGATCTTGGCTTTGGGTTTCTCTACTGGTTCCGGTTCCAAAATGGAGACTCTCTCTCTCTGGATTCTCTCTATCTCTTTGTGAATTTCACCTGAGCCAAGAGCGAAGCCGTTTAGGCCTCGTTAACAGCAAAACGGCTTCTTCTGGAGGTTGTATTGTAAAAGATGCCTGTCCCGGCTCGGCTCTCTCTGCGTAAGCCAGGTAGAAGTCCCAGCGTAGCCGAGGTAGCAGCATCGTCAACATATTGCTGATGACGTTGCTGGCTATGGCCAACCTGGCTATGAACCTGGTCGAAGCCTCTCCTCTCCTCTCCTTTCCTCTTTAACTTTTCTTCTTCTCGCATGCGCCACCGGAATGCCGTGAACCCATTAGCTGTGTAGTTTCTTGTGTACCTCATCTGACTTGGCTCGGATCGTGGATCGCATGGGCTGTGAGCAGCCGAAATTTATGCGTCATGCATAAGATCCGTTCCTGATCATCATCATCTGATGGTGATGTTCATCATGTAAATTCCAATCGGTAGCTGGCACGTACTGGGCCATAGATAGTGTGAAGTTAATGATCGACCCAATCCATTTAGATACGATCTTTGTCGATAGAAGTCGTCGTTTGATTTCGTTCGATTTGAGCTACTTTCCGAAAGTTGAGCGGAGTCGTGACAGGTTCTCTGGCTGCCTTGGCACTGATTCATTTCGATTTGCATGAGTGGTACTCAGAATTACTCGGAATCGGGGGAACTTGATAGCTATAGTCTATGTTGACCTAAAGTAAACCTTATATATTTATTGTAGAATAATTTAATTATAATAATATTTAATATTAGACTATAATTTTTAGCAAACTACCTAATTAAAGTCTTTAAAACATTTTCCCTGAGACCTAACTTTAAATATAATTTTCCTTAATATTACATCCCCCAAAAATAATGTAATATTATGAGATCTTCCATACTTCCATGCTCGAGCCCTCTTGAAATTGCCCAAAATAAATCTTTATTCCCTTCGCGGTCTGTTCTATTTATGGGAATGCGAGGTGATTAATGATGATCGTCTATGATGATGACTGACCAAATTTGTATTTAATTCTTGGCGCTCCGCACGACTCCGTCGAGCGACAATTAATTACGAATGCGTCAATTTCCTTAAAGCTCTGATGGTTTTCCAAACAACCAACTGGGCTGCATTCGAAGGGTTCCCCTTCGAGCACCGCGCTCCCACGATCCATTAATTGAAATGTGTGTCTTTCGTATCGGAACGTGACAAAGTGGCAAAGTTGTTTTAGCTGGGTGTTTCCTTCCCTAATATATTAGCTATACATACATGTATCACTATCAATCAACCAGCAAATACTCTTCGATCTTTGCAGCAAACTCGGTCTGGACTTGGTGCCCAGAGAGGGACCTCTGGCGGTGGATCCACATGGCATTGGCATCGTCAAGCTCTACAATGTCCACGTGAGCAGTGCTGATAACGCCAAGGCCTCATCGGTATGGGTAGAAATTAAATACCATTGGATTGTTTTTAATGTTTTGACTTGATAACCCCTATAGAGTCGGGGAACATTGAGGCGTAAGACGCAGCGCAAGATCCTCACCCACCATCTTTACTTTTGCATGCGCGACTTTGGCCATCGGATAGGTGGCGATGATGCAGAGGTCTACTTCTTTCTCTACGACGGCACTCACATGCGACCTTTATCCGAAAGGTTTCTGGTCAAGATCTCCAAAGATGGTTTCTCCAATTACATCGAAAGGTTGCACAGCAACTGCACGGTGTTTACTGATCTGGGTAAGGATAGTAAAGACTAGTAAAAGATCTTGGTAATATAATACGTATAATAAGAAATTTAAAATATTTTTAATATTACAAAAAAAAGAAATATTAGAAAACATTTTTTGTTTACCTATTTCTATACTTTTTTACATATAATAAACACCTGTAAAGACTCTTAAAATATTTTTAGTAAAACAAAAAATTTATTTTTTATTTTTTTTGTATCCAAAAAAAAATTTTTTTTATATATGTATAATAAACACCTATAAAGACTTTTAGTATAAGAGTCCGTATAATAATAAACTAAAATATTTTTCATAAAAAAAAAAAAATTGTATACCTTTCTTAATAATTTTCTAATATTTTCAGGTGCCGCTGATCTCAACGAGGACCTTCACCTGGTGGCCGTGGTGATGCGCGTGGGCAAGATCATCCAATCGGACTCCATCAAGAAGATCGAGAAGAGCGGAACCTTTGGCCATGGTCCCACCTTCCGTCGTCCCTTCGGTGTGGGTGTTCTCTCCCTCGGTGACATTGCCCATTTCGATAACAGCCTAGAGCAATCCTCCGATGAGCGGGAGTATAGCTTCAAGCTGTTCCAGAGCGAGGAGAAGGACTTTCACCTGCTGCCCGAGCTGATAATCAAGAAGTCGAGTGGCAAGTACTCACCCATCCAGACGAGTCAGGGAACGCAGGGAATAGTGGTCTCACTGAAACTCCTCCACGGTGGATTGGGTCAGGCGCGGCAGGAGCAGCCGCTGCTCTTTCAGGGCTCCACGATTACCAGGAAGATGGGCTTTCCGGATGTCATTATGCCTGGCGATGTTCGCAACGATCTGTTTCTCACGCTGGAGCGTGGA